AGGCGCCCGACTATGACTGCCGCCAACCACCCCAGTGTGTACAACACACAGGCTTTGACCTGTAAACGGGCAAAGCCCGCCGGGCACTGCTCGATCATGTGGACGGGGCTTTTGAGCCCGCTGGAATGCCTCCTCATCACCTCACTCTCAAGATTGGAACTCCTATAACGCTCCAAGAAATCTTTAACCTAGCGAAAGAGCCGCCCACAAGGCGGCGATTCCGCTAATATACCAATAATGACAACGTTCGTAAATAAATACGTATTTTGATAACGATTTTATTATAAGATTAAACAGGCCAGTTAATAACGCTATAATCCATATCTGATATTCCTTACATTATCCCATATCTTCGTATCTGAAATGAACGAGGCGATATTTTTTCTAAACCATACCAGCTATTGTGATGGGGGTAGGGTATAGATTAAATCATAAATTTGTTTATGTTGATTGTGGTATTGATGGAGTTTCTGTTATCGGTGATAATAGTGGTTCTTGTGCGTATTCCAAGTAGTCTGATATTACCTCCTTCCAAGTCATCGTATTGTAGTATCGATGCAAGATCATCGTGTCATTTGTTGATATATAATCATTGTTATAGTAGTCTTGAAAGGTGTAAGCGAATAATTCATCACTCAATTCATTAATAATTTCTTCAATATTTCCGTCAACTCATTTTGAAACCAATTTCGTAATTTTTCTTTAAAACAGACTGAGAGCTGTCCATTACTGTGTGTGAGAGGTCCCATTACATAATTCCCGAATTCAGATTCACATAGGTTTTTCACATTGCTATAGATGTTATTCTCATTCGTAGCTCCGGACATGATTATAACACGTTAAAAAGTATACTTTCCTTGACTACACACGTACCCTTTTATATTAAATGCCGCTGCTTCAGTGATAAAAAATAATACTGTAGTTTCAACGAAATGGATATTAAAACAAACAATCTATTGAAACGATATCTTGATAATCCACTACAAAATAATATATTGTTACAACATTATACACATAAGAAAATATAAAAAACCGAAGAAAGAAAACACTCTGATGCAGCTAAATGGAATACAAATTTATTTTCAGCGCTCCCACATAAACCTTTTTTGTAAAATATGGTATGATCTTTTTGAAGATATCACCGACAATAATAATAAAACAATAATTATGACATTTTATATTTTTTTTCGTATAATATAAAAAATAATGGTATATTTTTTTAATGAGGCTTCCCATGAAGCGTTTATGGGGAAATTGTCTAAAATGTGACAATACCACAGTTCTGCATCATCCATCTTTCCAATAAACGTATTATTTTCTATTCATAGGCCCTACCAATATATAATATATTCCAATGAAGAACGTGAAGATTGTTATTTATAATTGAAAGCGGGGGAAACAATCGCTAGATATTCCAAACATATCGTATTTGATCGTCCCATTTATTTAGAAAAAAAAAGACCCAGTTATTTTTTCCTGTGGTCAGAAAATCAACTTAAGTTAAATATATAACATCGATGATCAACCATGTTTTGTTTTATCTTCAATAATTTTTCTACTGAAATTATGTTTTCACAAAATAATTAATGGTGTAAATTGCATTGGACATAATTATATGTGTGTTTAACTCTCATATCTAAAATAAATTAAAAAAACAACTGTCGTTTTTAGACATTATTGCCTAAGAAATAAAATGGAAATATGGGTAAACGTTTATAAATATTATTAGTATAGTTAATATTATTAATCCTATTATAAAGATAAAGAAAAGAAATATCCCTTTCCTGATTATAAAGAATATTGTTATAATGATTTTTCGTTATGAGACGTTCCATTTTCGAAAGAACCTGTGATGACTCTTATTCTACTGTATATATGGTATCTTCTCTCGCATGAGGTTCAGTGTAAATATCACAGGGTCCTCTAGAAGAGGGGTGGCTGTTTTGTGAATTGAAGGCAGCCTCAGTAAAGTCAGATTTGTTGATTGTTAACTGGGTCGATGCCGTAGAAGTTTCCATTAATATAAAAATTTACCGATAAGGTAGATAAACACCTGGGACACGTTGTCACCGTTTCGTCGTGTTAGTTTTTAACCAAGAGTAAAAACCCATACAGTGTAAGCAATAAAATATAGGTAGTGTGTTTGTTATTGTATCCTTTTTTTTTCCAAGGCACAGGGATTTTTTTTATATTTTGTTTTACTATAAATACAATTATAAGGGGTCTTAATTATTATATTCCGGTTGTGTTTTTCAACAAAAATATATACAGACTACGGTATCATTATGATGAACAGACAAACTAAGAATAAACAAATAACCGAACAATCAAATACTAACTCGGTCGGTGAAATAGAGGCTCGTTATCCTCATCAATATCAACAACCGCTGAAACACAAACAAACGTTTTCTGGATGATAATTCCTCCCCAATTTCAATTCCTAAAAGACAACAACAATCCTTTTCTCAACTTTTATACCGCCCACCGTCACCACAAACAACGTATTCGTCATCATCGACAGCAGCCGCAATCAAACTTACATCATCTCAAACGAGAAATACGTCGGTGTAGTATGACAATGTTGAAGTAATTCCACGTCCCTCAATTTATTTTAGTACTATGGAATTAAATAATAAACGAGAAGAAGTAATGAGCATGATAGAGGCCGTTCTGGCAGACGTTACCTCCGACAATAATTCGTATAGTGTTTTACCCGATGAACCCCAACACCTAAATTCTATGGTGACTGAAAATACCAGCTGAAAAATAAAGTATATATGTACACTTATATTATCTCAATTCACTAATAGGTCCATAGAGAACCAACTAATTTTCAGCCTGCTCTTAAACTTAGAAGTCCACAAATGGGATCTGTAAACAAGATGAAAAGATATATTATTGTGGATAGTTGTCTTAAAGAATTAAACGTTCATCTATTGGAAGTAAAGTGTCGTCTTTTTTTCGGGAGGTGGAAATTATGAAGATATTCATAAAATAATAGATAAAGTTAATTGATCCATTAATTAAAGAATGGTGAAAATTTAATACAACCCACCAATGTACGTAGACCCCATAGAAAAAAGAAATGTCCTCTCCCATGTAAGGATATCCTCTCTAACAGACCCACAATATCAAGACGAATGTCTAATGATCGCATTAATTTGGGAGTACACCATTTTACTTTTATGAAAGCCACCACCACCAATAACAGTAATATCAAGGATGTGGAAAAAGAATTGAAATTTTTCTATAATACTCCATTGGGTGGTATAGTACGCCCAATGGGAAATCCATATATGGTATAGGATCGAATTTAGTAAATTTCGAATCAAACATTTGTGGATACTCAGACAAAATAATTGTCCTGTGAACGCTTTAAATTCATTTAATATAAATTTGTATTGGAGTTCACGACGGTAATTTAGTATTATATTTGTCCTATTTTAATAGTGCATGTTATCGCCACTCGCAATTGTGCACGCCGGCCACATGTTAAGTGAAGAAACTGTTTACAACTTAGAATAAATAGTTTACTAAGCGAGATGGAGCTGGAAGCAGCCGAGTGACTGCCTGAGGGACAGTCTATCGCCTTCTACTGTAAAGGCAACATCTTGATTCTCGTCAGCCAAGACCTTTCTGAAGGACATTAGAATATTTGTTCTCGTTGGTCTAACCCTCGACCCCAAAACACGAGTGTGATTGTGAACTGTTGAATCCTCAGACTCTACAGGCATGGGAAAAGTCCCGCCCGACAGTCTTCACTACTGAGTTAGTGGACTCCATGCCCAGGAGACTTAACAGCGGGTGCTTATATCAATTATTAATGTAGCAAATGTAATAAAAGTGGTTTCTTAAATACTTCACTCTGCAAGACACAAATTTTGTGAATATACAAACTTATGTGAAAAACTTCTTTTCGTAATATTTCGTCCACCTTGTTATACTTTGACTTTGTGAGGATCCACGTACTTTTCTTCGCACGTGTACGTAAAAAAAAAGTATCTTTCAGGAGTAGTGCGATGAATTTGGAACTGAACAATCCTGTTGTGTCGCTAGGGTTGGTTGGCGTGATTGGGAGACATTTCCTACCAGTTATGGTAGGCCCAATTTAATCGTTTCATTCCAAATATCAAATTTCTTCGTTGCATTATAATTGGTGAATAACAGTATACCTTATGAGCCTTTATCAAAAGCCTTCACTCGTGGCGTCATTTTGTTTTGCACAAGAATTATAAAGATTTTTTTTACCTAGTGCACGTATTATTATTATTATTATTATGGATTTCTGTACTGTAATAACTAAATAGTTTGGTACACTAGGAAACCGTTATTATATAAACAATTACGGTTGAATTTTCATTTTTAAACATTTTTGTAACATGATGACGAATATCATATTATGACGTTGTGTATATGTGCGATCTTTACAGTTTAATTTACAGTCCTGTGATTCCAAAGGCGGTATAACATACATTCTTGGATACATAATAAAACATGCATTCTAGGATACATAGTAAAACATATTTCAAGTGCAAAGTTACACACTTCAAAAACTTACCATCAAACCTGTTCCTGGAACATGGAGCGATTAGTTCCAAGCTCCAGACGGATGGTGTACGATTTTTCTATATATTTGAAGTAAATAAATAAAAATATACTATCACTCGCACGTAAAGGTTGTTTTTATCTTCACACAAGTCATAATCCTATAGTTTAACACCTATACAATAGTAGTTAAGTTTTGCTTCTATGTTAGACTGTGAATCAATGAAATTTAATTATCTAAATCAAAGTAATTAATAGAGTTAACTTTCTTCACTATCATACAAAAAAAGGATAAAGAAATGGGGAACCGTGCTGGATGATACTCCTATTTCGTGGCAATTCCTTTAAGACTTGGACTCGTTAAACTAAAGATGAACCAAGTTTTATTGTAGAACTTCTGGGCGTCTACGGAGGAGAAACCAGCCCGCTCAATGTTGGTCAAGATATCGCGATTCATGTGGCAGCCGTCAAACAGGAATGACCAGAACCCTAGCCAGTGGCCCACGTCCTGCAGCTTCCTCCTCAGGCCGTGCTTCTGTAAGTCGAACTCCGCAATGTGTTCTATAAAGTAGTATTTGCCGCCCTGCAAAGAAAACTTAATAAAATTTTCGATAAATGGAAAGACATGGTTATATTGTTATTTCTGAAGTTTTATCTGTGACCAAAAAACTGATAAATTATCTAATTTTATTTAAAACCTCTGTAAATATTAGGTTCAGGTCGCTTACTCTGTCACGTGTGCTTTCCTGCCAACATAATACTGAGTGAGGAAAATCTAAGAATAATTTATTTATATAGCAAAATTATTGCAATGGGACTAAGTTAAAAGCAGTGCGACAATAAATGCTTAAAAGATCACCTTTCAGAGAGGATTATGGAGAACATAAGCCTTAGACATCGAAGATGCAAGCTCTAGCTATAAGTTCCCCCCCCCCTCCCCAGGAAGTACTTTGATAAAATTCCAAACAATGATTCAACCTTAAGTTCTTTTACGCTTTTCACAGTCTATTATACAATTGCCAACACCTTTATCTTATAGCTACCTTAAAAGAACAAGTATCCTTATTCACATAAAGAACAAAGAAAAAGTTGAAGTGATTGAATAAAAATTAATTTACCCAAGAAATATAAGGGCAATTATAAAGATTATATCTGTAAAGCAATAAATAAAATAAACGAAAAGTCGAATCTACATTTTTGTTGTCACCCGATAATTAGCCTCCAGTAATGGTGCCATCACCCAATAATTAGCCTCCAGTAATGGTGCCATCGAAATATTTCTGTGATCTAAATAGATTAAATATACCTTTTCCTGGGGACCGCTTTCGTACCAGAATTTAAAAGATATTTCTGGTGAAAATTCAACCAAGAAAAATAAACGAGAAACAGAAAGACGGGCTATCATTTGTATACTGTACTGTAAATCACAGGCTCGTGAGAACATTAATTTATCACACTGTAATTAACCTAAGTATATAATTGTAAACTTCACCGCTACTACTTTGCCCAATTATTACTTTTCACTCGGCCTGTCGTTAAAATATTTTTTCCTTCTTGGCAGATTAGGCGGTGGAATTTTTCGATATACTTGAACCTGGTTATTGTAACTGTTAGTTTCCCTGAAGTCGTTTATAACCTAATATTGCCACCATATTATACCATGACTTTCGGGGTTTTGTATCAAATGTAAACAAAGTGTCAAAACATAGGTTTTCAGACATGGTTAATTCGATGAAACCATTATTTGCAGTATATGGCAAAAGCAAGCTGGCAGTCTTTATATATAGTATCACATTCGCAATCAAACTTGGTGGAAATATACAAATATGAAGTGTATAAACGTATATTTTCAGTTACGAGCATTCCCGTTAGACCATTACTTACATGATTTAAAAATAGCAATGTTCTTAATGCGGCCAGATGTCTCTATTAAGGCACAAACGAGAGCTACTGAGGTATGAATGCGAGCACGATCTGCACGTGAAAAAGCATGGCCAGTTACCATGTGTACAACTGATTCTTTTGCACGCCATAATCTAGCCAATCCTACCCAGCTAAGAAATCAGAAGGTGCAATCCACCAAGACAAAGATTTTTGTCTAGATCTTATGCATTAGCTACTACTCCTGCAGGCTTTAGGTGTAATGACTATTAGCCCCTGACTAACAGAGTAATACTTATATAAATGTGGGTTATATGCATTAGGTTTATAAAATTACATCACCCACGGTAATTTTCCATGAACAGTGAGTTGTCCTGCATCGATCATGTAATAGGTTGTCTCCATGGGAAGTCGCGTCTCGAGACGCTAGACTCGGCGATTAAGTAACCGGCTCCTGGAAAGTATACTGGCAGTCTCCACTCATCTTTCACACCTGATGGACTTACGGACACAAAGCTATTATTGATAAGCTGCTTCCATTATATGTCTGAAAAACTATGTTTAGGCATTTTGTTCATATTTCTTTCATGTCTAGTTGCAAATACTGTATATGATAGTAGGCAGGCTACCAAACAGGGAGGTACTACCACCTTGGAAGATTTTGGAAGCATAATGTTTTGTCTAATGGTAGACCCTACTGCCATATGGAATCACGAAAATTGTGACCAAGTCCCAGGTTGCTGATCTGACTTTCTGCCTCATTTACACAATTGTAGGGTCTCAATTGTTTCTCTTACTATTGACAAAACAACATAAATGGTTTCTCACTTTTGATTTTTTTTTGTATCATCACATTTCCCCATGTGGGTCAGTGACATGTGCCCGGGTGGGCTAAAAAAAATAGAATGGCAGCCATTTTGGATGCAATCTCGAATTCCTGAGCTACCACGAGGAAGATGTTCGGGTTCTTTTAATGTTTTTTTTTTATTACACTGTTATGAGTCTTTCCTGAAGTTTTCAGCTTGTTACCAATTTGTTCCAGGTTTGAAATCTATTTGAGCTAGAACTCTGACTAATATTTTTCATGCAAAGATTAACTTTAACGAATTTTACTGCCAAGCTGGCAACCTTTATGTCTATCCGGAAACTTACTTCACCCTGGTCGCAATCTCTGACCGGAGCACACTAAAAAAATCTCTCTCCATCCATCTCACGAAAGGGGTATCCTGTTGTTACCCAAGTCTCTACTGATGTATAGCTAGCCCCATGTGGGAGCCATCTATGTTAATAACTCGTTGTCCTAGTCCTGTTTGTTGGAAAGAAGTATCTCATGTTTTAGTGATAGCTTCTACTCGTCCAGTGTTAATATTTTCTACTCTTATCAGCATTTGCACATGTGTATATATATAGTCCCCTTCACTGGTGCGTTTACTGGGGCTCGTCATACGAACATTCAACAAATCATTACATTGATATATTCGTTTTAATATTGTTTTACTTAGATTCCATACTATGTTTATTATTGCAACTTTCCTTCTGTCGAATGTAAACAAACCTAAGGCAGCCACACTGCAAAAACCTTTTGTACATGACATACGTATCTCCCCATACTGATGAATAATTACCAATTCTCTACATAGCTCGGCTAGAAAATTTACCTTCATTTTTTATTCTCCAACTGGGATCTACGCCAGATACTCAGATGAAGGAAACTTATGGGTTCCTCCCAATGCTTAAGACTCCGAGCCGGCCACCGTTATTTAAGCAACGTAAAGATTTTGCAATAAAAATGAAGTACCAAGTAAGTGTTATAATAATTACAACTTGTTGATCAAACCTACCAAGGTTAGTGCAATATTTTTTTTTCATTTATTGGGCACCCCCTACATCCTTGTGTTAGGTGAAGCGCAGAAGCGTTTACAGCGCCCAACAGGGAAGCATGCTAAGTTCATGCTTGCCTTATGTCGCATGAGTTAAGGGCGTAGAAGCCTGAAGAGTCAATGGTTTTTATGTCTAAACAAGTTATTGGCAGTTCCAATAACTTGTCCGAATACGAATTCGCAACTTTCGACTTACAGCAGGTACCTACTTTGCTGCTAGGTGAACAGGGATGAAGGGGACTAGGAAGAGTGTCCAAACAACTTCCGCCGACCCGGGAATCGAACCCGTGACATCTTGCTTGCGAGGCAAGAACGGTACCGCTCTACCACCAGCTCCCCCTGTTAATGCAATTTATTTATTTATTTATTTATTTATTTATTTTTATTTTATTTTTTTTTATTTATTTATTGGGCACTCCCCTACATCCTTGTGTAAGGTGAAGCGCAGAAGCGTTTACAGCGCCCAACAGGGAAGCATGCTAAGTTCATGCTTGCCTTTATGTTTCATGAGTTAAGGGCATAGAAGCCTGAAGAGTCAATAGTTTTTATGTCTAAGCAAGTTATTGGAAGCCCCAACAACTCCCTGAAAACGAATTCGCAACTTTCGACTTACAACAGGTACCTACTTTGCTGCTACGTGAACAGGAACGAAGGGGACTAGGAAGAGTGTCCAAACAACGTCCACCGGCCCGGGAATCGAACTCGTGACATCTCGCTTGCGAGGCAAGAACGGTACCGCAATATGCCTTATCGGTTCTCAAGTTGAGGTCAGAGGTCAGGCACTGAGGTGCCAGGCCAGCATTCTGCCCGCTGGCTGGCTGGCTGCCTGCCTGCCTGCCTCTTACGTATGGGAATACAGAGGCCAACTTACCTCCCATCATAAGAGGGTTGCGCCTCCCAGCCACCGTTCACCACCTGTGTGCCACACACCACACACTAAGGATAACCAAACTAACTTCTACAGTATTTCGTGCATTGTGAAACAGAGTGTTATACTTAGTGACTTCACATCAGTGTCAGTGAGCTATGACCATGTGTAAAGTGGTATTTGTGGGTGTAGTGTAGTATCAGTGTGACGGCTTCTGGCATCCACAGTGCCCTGGTGCCCGCGAAGTCTACTCCCAGGCCCTTGCCATGTGACTCCCAGCCCTCGCTTCGTTGATGGTTGGCGCTTACTACACGTGTTAATGACTTCATATGGTGTCTCAGGTGACTACAGTGGTTATACTGGGCTGGTGGAAACAGGCATTTATCAGTGAGCTGGTGAATATTGGGTGTAACTCCTATCAGTGTTACTCAAGGCACACTTCCAACAACTCAGCCCATTCACACAAGTCCCTGTTACCTGGACACGGCTGGCCTATATAAAGTATCACCTCTCTGCCCCAGTGTATAAGGCCTGGATTCCATTTAAATCTAACCATGGCAGGAGTCAACGCCGGGCGGCGCTCTGCTGATGCTCCTGACGAAGGAAACGAAGAAGATGAGGAAGACCGTCATGGCGACACTGAAGCTGGCTTTCAGAAGGTTAAGACTCGTCAGCAGAAATGCAAAATGAGGACCCAGGGAAGGAAGCAGAGTAGAGCCAATAGGTGCATCCCTCCCATCGCTCCCCGGGCTAACTACGTGCGTCTTGTCATGCCATGCCTTGCCTTGCCTTGCCTTGCCTTGCCTGAAAACACAACCAATTTGATGAAGATTAAGTGGTTGAGAGCCCTGAATGGGGAATATTGCAGGGCTACGCTGAATGTTGTCATGCCAGGGAGCGCACCTCGTTTCGTCCATGTAGACCGAAAGGAAACGGATGCTATCCAATGCGTCATTGATGGAATTTCGGCTCACTGCATCTCATGAAGCGAGATTAACCTGTCCGACCCCAAAAAATTTAGGAATACCTTGTCACCCACTTCCCCAAGGGTATTCCCTCCAGTGGCGTTCTGTCACTTCCGGACGTCCACAGAGCAAGAAGACTTTTATAATTAAGGTGCACAACTTAGTAGGATCATTATTGTTTGGAAAAGGGAGGAACCACCTCCTGAGGAATACTGCTTCTTCGGCAAGTATGGTACCTCTAGTAGCATCTCAAACCACCTAGTCAGTGATCATTATGCAATAATTACTGAATACACTGTTGCTGTTAAGTGTCGAACCCCATCCTAAGCCCAGAATTAACTTCCAGATAATCTTAAACTACACTTCAAGGCCTACATCCACGGATGGTATGCTGGATATACACCTAGGTCAGTGGATAAATTTTTGCTGTGATCTTGTAAATGTCATTACCACATATTATACCACCTGGTTAAGTCAAGGAGGAAGGGGGGGCAGCACTAAACCACCTCTGTGGACATATGACCCCCATCCACACCAAAGAAGGAGAGAAGGTAGAACAGCTTGCCAACACTTATAAGCAAAATAAAACTAGTGATAACCTCGTGACATTCCTCAAAGCTAACAGAGCATTTCGTGAACTCAAAGGGCAGGTGAGAAACACCTATTGGGAACAATTCTTACAGATTATTAATAGAACAACCACTCTAGCAGAAGGGTTGAACAAAATTAGCCATTACCAAGTTACCCACCCCAGTCCAACTTCATCACAGCCCTGCAGAATATGCTGACATGCTATTAGACCAATGGTCTAGTGCGTCACAGATCACTTCCCTGCCTCCTGACATACAGCAATATCGTAAAACCACACACATTAATAGGGGGTTTCAATATTGAAATGGCCTGTTCCTCATCAGACCTTACGGACCAGTTTCCTATAACGCACCACGAACAAAAAAACAGCACTAATAAAAGGCGAGTCATCCTCCCCTGGTGAGGATGGCCCAACCTATAACACCGAGAATGTTAAAAGAGGTCCTTAACCCTCCACTCCTTGTCCTCTATCAAATGAGCCTCACACGGGGTATTCTGCCTAAGACATGGACTCAAGGAAACATAGTACCAGTCCCTAAAGCTAACTCTCCAAACTTCAGGCCCATTTCACTCACATCCTGTATGTGTAAAGTCCCTGAATGAGTTGTTCTCAACCGTCTCATATTTCAAGTCAAAGACAAACTGGCCCCTAATCTGTATGGGTTCATGCCCTGACAGAATATCTTGTTCACTCAAAAGATAAGACCCAATCAGCCTTCATAGACCTTAAATCAGCCTTTGGTGTAGCTAATAGACATTATACTTGACCAGCTAGCTAATTTTGACATCCAAGGTAACCTTCTTACATGGATAAGGGGATATCTGTCCAACAGGTATGCCAGTGTTCTGTTTAGGAGTCAAAAGTGCCAGAATGAGAGCATTTGAGCTTGGAACGCATCAGGGAGGAGTGTTAAGACCTATGCTCTTTAATATACTGATGCACAAGCTTATTGCTGGCAATCCAGTTCAGCTAAACAAAGCTGTAATATGCTATGCTGATGATATCTGCATTAAGACACAGACCAAGCTCAGGCTCCAAGCCTTGCTGAATGTATTTGCTCGGAGGACTCTGGAATGTGGTCTCATAATATCTGTTGACAAGACGAGGGTCCTCAATCCTCGTCCTGCTCATCCTCTGCCTCTTGACTTTAACATTAACAGCATGCCCTTGGAATTATGTAGCTCTTATAAATATCTTGGAATTTGTGTGAACGATGCAAACTTTGTCGGCAACCTTCGTGCCAAACTAATGCAGTGCATTAAACCCTTCAGAACCCATCTTGGCAAGGGCTATGGAATTAACATCGTCTATGCTCGTACTTTCTCTCCACTTCATTCGTTCTGTAGTTGACTATCATGCTCTCCATCTTGTAACTATTCTGCCTAAACAACTCGACACCCTTGACGTAGTGCAAAATGAAGCCATGCCCATCATTCTAGGATGTCCAAAATCAACCGAATTGTAAACATTAGGAAAGAGCTCAGACTGCCCTCCCTATGTGAGAGGATTGCTCTACATAATACCATATTTTGTGTCAAAGTTTTGAAGAACAACGATCCCCAAACTACAGCTCAAACCGAGTTGATGTTCTATCTAAGTAATCCCGACTGTCTCGCTAACCTTCCACAAAAGACTCTTTGGGGCGTGGCTTCATAAAAGTATTGCAGATCTCTTGAAACTGAATGTTCCAATCACCAGACGAACCCATTAATGTCTGGGGTGATGAGATGTAATGGGATGTGTCACATTAGAAACTATTATGAGACAGAGAATATTAAATCAAGTGAATGCTATGCTTTTACTGATGGTTCTGTGCAGACAAACACAAATAGTGTCATACAAGCAAAGGCTGAACAACTGGGCCAGCACAACACAAACTGAACTAACTGGAATCTACTTAGCTATTGACTACCTTAAAGATAATAGGGGTGGGGTGATATTCTGTAACCCTCAAAGTGCTTTAAAATTAATGAACAGCCCGTCAGGTTCTATGTCTATAGTTGTATGTGCTATTAAAAGAAATGTGATAACTGCTAATGAGAACTCACGTATTGAATTTGCGTGGATTCCGTCCCATTTTGGAATTGGGTATCATGACAGTGCCGTTAGACTGGCCAATGAGGCATGTAAGAAATGAAATGTTGACTGACCTTGGCCTGTCCAATGCTGTACTGAAACAAGTCAGAATCATGAAGTCTGATCTAGAAGAACTGAGAAATTCAGAGAGGCCTGACAGTTGTAGAATTAGAAAATATGAAAAATTTTGTGACGAGAGGTATTGGTATGGCCAGCATAAGGACAGAACCAGACAATGTGATGTAGTCGCGGCCAGAATTGTGCTAGGATGAAGGCACACCTGGCAAGGTTTTTTTTTTTTTTTTTTTTTTACCAGGACACAGGTCACTCACCCACATCGGGGCCTGGGGGGCGGGGGCGGCGAAAATGTAGTAATAATAATAGTCATAATAAATAAAATTTGATATAATACTTCATCATCATCATCATAATCATAATCATAATAATAATAATAATAGTCCTAATAATTCATAATAATAATAATAATAAATAGTCCTAATAATTCATAAATAAAATTTATGATAAAACAAACAAAGTAAAATAATGATACAGTAACTGTAATAATATTAATAATAAAGAACTATAAATAAAAAAATGTATGTTGTGTTGTCAATGGTAAGAAACAATGGAGACCCTGCAATTGCGTGTAAATGAAGCAGAAAGTCAGCTCAGCAACCTGGGACTTGGTCACAATTTTCGTGATGCCATATGGCAGCAGGGTCTACCATTAGACAACACATTATGCTTCCAATATCTTCCCAGGCAGTCGTACCTCCCTGTTTGGTAGCTGCCTACTACCTATACTCATACCGGAACACTCAGCATGTAAACTTTGTGATAAACATTTAAAGCATACACTTGAACACTATATTAATGAATGTGACACTGCCAAAGACTACACACCACCTGGCTTATTGTATCATGAACTTTGTAATTACTACATTGAATCGGGGGTGCTTGAGGACATTCTTGTCGTTTATCCAAAATTTGCTAGCCCACATTGATTAATCTTCAATTAGAATATGACATCCAATGTATATGAAGCACTCTTCCATGGTAGTGAACAGTGACATCACCAACACGACTCTGACCCGTATAGACTGGTAATGAATATGATGTATTTCTTTGTGTACGAACCTCTGTCCTGCATGGCAGTGAGAAGTGACATCACCCACATGAATCTGCCCTATATATATACTGTTAATGAATATGATGTACATCTTTGTGCATGAACCTCTGTCCTGCGTGACAGTGAGAAGTGATACCACCCTCAGTGTCAAGACCTGACTGAATTACTCAGAATAGGCACTGTTCTCCAAGCTGTGTCAATAAATTTGTTAAACTAAAATCAAGTTTTTTGGCGTGACACACAGACACGCACTACCAAAAGGATTACCTGGCCATGCAGTTGCTGCTTTAGACATGGGGATGACTAATGAAGACCCCCAAAATTAAATAGGGTTTTATGAAATAAAAACAAAGTGGTGACTCACGGACGCCAGGACACGGAGAATCTCCCTCAGAATCGTGTCAATGTCGGGCACACTGCAGAGCATCAGCGTCACCACCACCACGTCAATACTGTTGTCTGCTATCTGTTCCATGTTTTCAGCTGGCAGAATAAAAAACAAATAATGTTACACTCAAACACACTTGACAACGAGGTGTGAAGACCGAAGAATTTAATATGGGATAAATGTGTTCAGGTTTTATAAGATTACAAAATTGTATCGTCTTGTTTGGGATGAAAAGGTTATAATGGGATCTAGAATGTATAATGCAGAACAAATTGTTTATGTGTAATATGTTCGTTTACAGGTGCAGCAGATTAAATTAATGAATGATTATTAATATTGTACGATCTTAGCGCTGCAACAGTTAAGGTCAAATGGCGCAGGCGCTAATTAATGGTAAAAAAGAACCAAGATCAATCTGATGCATAATTAAAAAAAATGGAAAGAAAAACGACCCATAGGAAACGACAAGAATAAAGATATCTGTAAAAGATTATAGGAAGCCAGCCACCTTCAAAAATATTAAGTCTCCTCCCCCAGCACCGCAGAAAGAGTAAGAACCATCACCCCCACGGCACCCAAAGTAATGCTTTCACTGCCGGTCCCCCAGACTGGGACACTTGACCAGCTTGTGTCCGTAGTCAAGAGTACCAGGCATCTGGTACCGCCACAGATGTACCACCTCGGTTATCGCCCGTTTTTTGCCGATACTCACTCCAGCCCACTGGTTCTGCTACAAGCAATGGGGGGAGTCATTCGGAGTACAGTGTGATGTCACGATGGGGAAGAGACCTCCGTTGGGCTGGTCTGCAGCTGCCATCACCTATGCGTCGGTTGCCTCTTTACCCTCAACCCCGACGAGAGCAGTTACCCAGCAGAACTGGACCACCTGTCCATGCCGCTTGAATGGAAAGAGTCCCTCTAAAATTTGGACGACCAGTGTGGTAGTGTTTTTTTGTACCACACACAATTGTTTTAAATCAGTTCTGGAACTCTTAAAGTGGCAGGGCTGATGTAAGCCCTTCTTCTGGACTTGTTTTATTGTTGAAGAGTCTATATACACAATACACCTTTTCACATATCCGTTGAGACATTGTTACATAACTATTTGACACATTTCATAACCGAATGGCAACACATATCAAATGACAATCTAAAATAACTGTTCGTTCATGCTAACGGAAGTGATTGACATAAGTTATGAAGTTGACAGATGTGAACAATAAACCGACAGTCTACATATAGTTTGTGAATGTAACAATTGGAGAATGACATACCACCAACAGTTATTCTAGATTGTCTTTCGATATGTGTTCTGTCATTCGGTTATGAAATTTGTCAAATAGTTATGTAACAATGTCTCAACGGATATGTGAAAAGGTGTATTTAGTTTGGGGGAGAATGTATTGTGAATTCTCTTCAGGGGAAGTGTTTATGTACACTTGTATGGGAGCACTTAAGTTAGGTGTTCTCCCCTGAACTAGTGATAAGAGTCTGCCCTCTCCTCTTGCTTTGAGCGTGAGAGAGGAAGGCATCGGATGGGATGTGTTGCTTAGTAAGCTTGACCTCGCTCGACCCGTGAAGTTACTAGCTCAGCGTCTATAATGTGAATAACTCCCGAGTCATTGTTGAATAACTTATCGAATAGTGTGGTGTTATTCGTTTGGGCGAATATTTATATAATGCAAAGGTGGTTACACCACTCGGCCACCGCCAACCGAATCCTCACGCTTTAAATCCTAGGTGTACCTAACCTTGTTACAATAAAGTGTGCTTTAGCTAAAATTTTGCTTCTTGCACATGCTTTTGCAATTCCTTCTGGAGATATTTCGTAGAAACTATTGTGTACCTTGAAGATATCTTTCTGTAACAAATTATCATAACAATTAGGGAACCGAGAAATATGATGGCACGCATAATGAAACAAGGTAGGATCATACCAGAAGATAAATTTAAAGGAAGAGAATCCTGTATGTCAGGAAACTGGGTTTCATTAATGCAATATAGAAGTTCAAGCTTATCAGATACAATATGAAGACTGCTGTAATTTATATTCAGGAAAAATGGTATGGGTACCAGTTTACAAGTAATGTTTGTGACAAATGCAAGATGATGGCAAGTAGGCAAGATTGTGATTGTATTACTGATAATTTCACAATAGTCTGGTGCTTTATGATAAACTTCCACTACTAAATGTTTACCTACATCCTGACATACTAGTATCACACTGGTTTGATTTGGGAGGTAAAATATGGCACATTATTGACTTACATTGATTTAGGACTGCATGCTCATTCACAGCAACTAATGAAAAATCTTCTGAAACTACTATTAGTTCACTTTGTTTGTTCAGAATTAAAAAATCGTTATTATCTTTCAATGGAAATGGTTCCTAGTGCCATGCATAAAAAAAAAAAAAAACATTTTTGTGGAATGTGTATTAGTATTTCCCTGTGTGTTAAGGTTGCCTCTAATAAGTGGGTCGTAATATTCCACCTCATGCTCCTGAAAGATAGGAGTTAAATGATATTTAGTTTCAGCTATACGTAAGCGGCAATAAGTTGACCAACTGGCAACAACTGTGCATCAACACGACATAACCCTGCATTCACTAGATCAGCTATGAGCCTACTCTGTTGTTTTCTATGAAAGCTTGTACAGAGGCCTCAGCTGTATTCATATATTCTGTAAAGCAGAGTAGCCATTCCAGTGTAGATTCTGACCGTGTAGAATCCTTGGACAACTCGTGTTAAATGATTAGTTTCGTCAAAAAATAGCATTCATTTGAGAGGTCCGAGTTTGTACCGCCTTGTTTGACTGTTCAATTGCCCTATTTTTTTCTTAGCCGTTTCTGAAACTGCAGTCATTCGGTTCCTTAGTTTAGCTACATCTTCGGCGGTTGCCACACCAAACGGTGTTACTTATTAAACCGACAAAGTTAAACAGACCACGTTTTGCCGCCGCCGAAAATGTACATTCTTCCCAAGTCTTCGGGAGATAAAGGGAGTTTTCCCTCAAAAGTGATTTACTCGTTTGAGTAGACTATTCACACAGTCGTTCTGAAGTGAGATGGTCTGACCGAGTGTTGTAGAGATTGGAGATTGTTGCTCGAGATCTTGCAGGGTTTGCACAGCGGTTTCAATGTGGACAGCTATTGACCTCAGCTGCACTGGCATGCACATTAAATCATGGAGCTCTTACTTGATAGTGACAATGTCTTATACTACAAGTACTTTGACTAGTGGGGCAACCAAAGCTCCAGGTTTGACGACATCTGCTGGGTATGCAGCTGTTGCTACCGCCCTCCAGACCAACAGGAGTAGTGCTATCCAAGCCATGTCTGAAAGAGGCGAGGATTATTAAATATTTTTGTTTGCTAATCGTAGTTTTTGACGATATGTATTGTTACATTTTGTTGAGCATCTGTTGCAGTAGAAGTAGGATGTATTTGATTCACATTAGGAGTCCCTACAAAGTCTCTGCTGACTTTTCATTCAAACTACATCTGTGATAGTTGTCGTAGGCTCAACTACTTGGAATTTGTTTCCATGTTCTTTCACTCTAATCACGTACGGACCTGTGAATTTAAGCGAGAGTTTTGTTGTGCGTTTCGGCGCTTTTATCAATACTTTGTCTCCTATTTTTAGAGTTATAGGCTTTCCATTTTATGTTGCTTGCTGATCATTTCAGCATGTTAGGCTGCTAAATGTTTTAGTGCTTTTCAATGGATGCTTGTAAAAACATTTATTTGCATCTTGGCATAGTCATCCATGTTGTACTCAGGTCGAGTTCCTTCTAGTAGATCATATGGCAAGCGTTTATTGGTACCGTAAATTATGTAGTATGGCGATTTGCCTGTAAAGCTATTGATAGATCCATTGATGGACACTGCAACTTGTGGAAGCCAGTCCTCCCACGAACAATGCAGTGGATTCACCATGTCAGAGAATCTCAAGAATTTTACTGTTTGTACGCTCGACCAACCCTTTTGAAAATGGATGGTAGGTGGTTGTGAAGGTTTGTGTGGTGTCATTGTTGACATTGTAGTTATGAGTTGATTCTTAAATTCTTCCCCGTTATCTGAGAGTATCACTCTAGGTGTAGAATAATGACACAAGATGAATGACTAATGCATGAGCCACTGATTCGGCCGAATTATTCTGCAATAGCGCTAGTACCACAAATCTAGAAAAGTGGTCAACGGAGACAAGTATGTATTCAGATCCTTGATGGCTTATTGGTAGTTGCAAATAAATCTATCGCAACTGTATCCCATGGACTTTCCGGCGTCAGGTATTCTAAGATTGGAGCGGGATCCATCGTCGTCCCCTCGTTTCTTGCACAAGATAAACACTTAGCAACGTGATGCTCGAGGTCGGTCCTCATAGTTTTCCAATAATATATTTTTTTTCTAATTTCTGTTAGACATCTGTCTCGCCGTGGATGCCCAGCTTGGGGTGCATTATGGAAGATGTATAGCGTAAATAACTACCGAGTCATTGATGAATAACTAATTGAATAATTTGGTGTTATCCATTTGGGTGAATATTTATGTAATGCAAAGGTGTTGTTACACCAGGAAGCGAGACAAGTTAAAAAAATCAAATGTTAGAATGCACTACAGTACTTGAGTCACCAAAAATAATAAAATATTTAAAACGATCATGACACCTAACAATGCACAGCAGTGCAGCTAAATTCCCATAGCTCAGCCGTAAAGACTGAGGCAATGATTGGTAACGCTGCATGCTCTAAAGAGAGAGATCAAACTTGGCCTGGAAGATAAGCACCCTTGACACCAGAAAAATAGCTGCCGGAGTCGCTGGTTACAGCCGTAGCCGAACCCTGGCGGGTCTTCAGAGACCCACCTGTGAATCCAAAAAGCTGCACCTTAGAAGGAGTCTCCTGGACCGCTTCTGGTTCAACGAAGCACCAGAAGCAGACGAAACGGGCTTCCAGAATCCTCCTTAGGTAAGGTAGAGAGGGAAATGGTAATAACAGCATCAATCAAGAAAGTTGAACTAGTAGCAGTAGAGGGAATTACAACATTTTATCTCCTTATAGGAACTGCAGGACGTCGAGTGGGAAGGGATCATAG